CTAGATAATACAGTCAAACATTGAAACTGTTATCACATAAGTCACTGAAGAAGCAATTAAATCAATGGAGGAATTTTCTAATTAGCATATTAATTATTTGTGAATGAAAGGTGATTCCAAAGTACTCTAGAGAACTTGAAGACATTGTAGTTTGTCTTCTCATTCTACATATCCTGTGAAATATTTTTATGCAATTCATTTCCAATAACCTAGGGCAAAAGGTTTTGCTAATCAAAGGAAAACATCAGTCCAGCCTCTCTGTATTAATTAGCACATATCCTAAATTGGTAAAACCTATATTAATGAGGCCCAGGCTCCTTGTTGATGGCATTCATTGAGTAAGACTTGGACTTGACTAAATACTTTTGCGAAGACTAAAATACTGATACATCTTATCTGTGGGCAAATAAATGTTCAAAGTATGCAATTATCAATATTATAAGGGCCTTATGCCACTCTCTATGAACATCCTAATTACCTTCTACATATCACCAAGATGAGGCTTTTGTAAAAATCCAAACAGTTTTTCTGGATCAACCACTTTTGTATTTCAAATTTCGGGGCCTACAAATGATTGTCTTTAAGAAACAGAAAATTCTCCCTAATAAAGCCAAATACCCCCCCAAAAAAAAGAAAATGAAAAGTAGAGACATGTCTTGCTAAACTATCATTAAAAGGTAATTAGGAAATTCCATTTGAATTTTTATGGAGTTGTTTGTGTTTCTGACTGATTTGTTCTTTAATGCAAGAGGGGATGAAAGGGAGGCGTGAGGAGCAAAATGGTACCATATCTACTTTGTTTTGCTCCCTCTCCCCATTACCTAATCTTCTGGTTCTTTGCTGATTCAGTCACTGTGCCTGCAATTTTAAATTCAGTATCTATCTATGGCCTCACTTCTTTGTCCTTTCCGACATCTATAAAATCAGCCAGCACATTCAGTTACCATTTACCATGTGCTTCTCTTGTATTTTAACTGATCAAAAATCGACAGCTCTCCACAAAGTTGTGCGTTTCCTAAGCACTTTCCTTCGCTTGAATCATGATCATTTGACACCTTGAATCCTGTTTTGTTTTTGTTTTGCAGTAAAGATCATTCCTGATGACTGGATAAAGATGTGGTTATTCTATAAAATGGAGTACTACTCAGCCATAAAGAATGAGAAACTAGAGTCATTCATAGGAAAATGGATGCCTATTGAGGCCATACTCTTAAGTGAAATAAATAAGACACGTGTAAATACTGAATAGTTTCTCTGGTGTGAAAAACCAAAGTGTAAATAGTATCCAGATTGTATAACTGACAATGTAAAATAGGAAGAAAAGGACTAAAGGTGTAGGGGAAGAAGAAAGGGTAGGGGAAAGGAAATAAGGAGCAAGAAAAAATATGAGAAAAGGAAAAAATGGAAACAGAGTCTTTGTAAATAGGAGAGGGTGGAGGGGGTCAAAGGTGGGCAGGGACAAGGGGGAAAAATGAGAACCAAGACCTGTCATGTAAAGGTACAAGATCCCAATGATGAATGTAACTGCACTGTATACTTAAAAAGTACCAATAAACTCAATAATAAAAAAAGAGATCATTCCTGGTGTATGTTCATTTTTTTCCACATCATGCTTTCAGATTAAGTAAAATATAAAATTGACACATCATTCATGTTAATTCTACCAAATTCTTCTCTAATGTAACAGAATCATATCAGCATGATGATTACCAGTACCATTTATACAAAGGCAAAATTGAAGCTAGTTCTGATTTTTTTTTTTTTTTGGTCTAAGTAAAGAAGATTTTTTAAATTGCAACATAATAAAACAGAAAGGAAAAAGTTACATAGATTCTGTGAATGTGTCAGTCTGACAGGAAGCTTTCTTTTTTACCTGTGTTCATCTCCTTCACGCAGGTGACAGAGCATTTTTGCTTCTCTGTTTCTGTGCTATTACTATTAAATACAGAATTGAAGTCCATATAAAGGAAAACAATTAGCAAAGGAACTCATTCTTGTTTTAAAGTGCTTCTGTTCTTTAATTTTAAAAGGATTTTGACTAACTTGGAGATGCTTTCTGAAAAACAAACAAACAAAAAAATATATATAGGCCTAAATAAGAGAATTCAGCTATCTTCTTCAGACTTTTCCAGTATGTTATAGATGGATTTTATATGTGCAATACAAATAGTAACACTAATAATAGTAATAACATAATTGCTAGTACTAATACCTTACTAAGCTCTGGGCACTATTCTAAGTGCATTGCATGCAATAGTTCTCACAACACCCTAAGGAGGTAGGTACTATAATTGTCTGAATTTACAGAAAGAGAAATTGAGGTAGAGTGGGATTGAGGGGTTTTCCCAGTGCATAGAGACTAGCTGCAGAGCCTGGATTTAAAATGAGGCAATCTGATTCCAGCTCTCACTACCAAGAGGCATTTAACAGTTTCCAGAATCACATTTGTCTATGTTATGGCACCAAGGAGCACTGAGTTACATCACCAGCCTTTTTATTTAATTTATTTTTTATTTTTAAGTAGGACCTCTCTAAATTGCCCAGGCTGGCCTAAAACGTTCAATCCTTCTGCCTCAGTCTTTCAAATAGCTGAGATTATAGTCATGCACCAAGCAAGCAGTGTTTTTAAACTGTAGAGCCTCACAGAGAAGTCTATCCATCTAAAAAGCTAATATCAAATATGAATGGACCATAGTCACTCAGTTTTATATACTGAGTTTATAATCAAGGCCTCACCTTGTCAGGCGGATACAAGAATGAGATTTTAGCAAAACTACATGTTATCACATACTTGGAAACTGCTTATATTTGCATCACTTTAAAGGCTCATTACCAAGAAAAAAGGAAATACTTGACATTTTGGTATCTGTGATATTAAAAAGAACTAATATTTAATATTCAAGTGGCAACAGCTTGTAGAGTTTGCATACAACACCCACAGGGATCGATTTTTTTTAAAAAAAAACAGCCTTTAAGAGTCAGCCTTTTAAGCAGCTGACACCTCCATTCTCTGCATCCCTCTTTCTTGCCAGTGCCATGGAACACACGCGGAGTGTAGCAGCAGACGTAAAATTCTTCACTGCAGGATTTGTCTTTGCAAATAATGGAGAGTATGGGAAAGGAAGAAAAATTTCCACTGAATCAGCCTCAGTGTAATCTCTACTTCTAAAATGGAATCGATGTCTTTTGAAGGCTCTTTTCCATATGCCCTTTCAGTCCCCTCTGTGCACCATCATAAGCAGAGAGGAGCATCATCACCTGATTAATCATCACTCATTCCACACCTGTACCAAGGCCACATGATGACAAGTATACTGCTGCTTGGCATTTTTCCAGTATGACTAATTGTCACAGTGCTAATTTACTTACCTGTAGAATTTTCAGCCTCCCCAGTTTGCTGTCAAGAAGATGCATAATAATGGAATAAAGGCTTTAAAATGCTGAATACAGTGAAATCTTTCACTTATCTTCCAACAGAAAGCTTTCACTAAGGCACGTGGTAGATGGCTATAGTTACTCATTGCTGGAGTAAAAAACAAAGATCCTGCTCACATATACATGCATGCAACAGAATAACAGGAATCCTGATATAAAGAAAAAAATTACTGATCTGATTGCCTAAACATGTTAATTAGGGCCAGTGATTTAGCTCAGTGGTTCTGCTGCCTGCCTCGGCAAGGTCCCAAGTTCGATCCCCAGTACCAAAAGAAAAAAAAAATGTTAATCTGTGTGTCTAAAAGTGAAGGCACTAGTTTAATTACTGTTGTGTTCCATATTTAAAACACTTCTTTGTAATTGTTGTTGTTGACTTTATTCAAGAAAATATTTCCCTACATCAAATGCTAAAATAAAGGAGTCATTGGTTGAGGGTTTTTTTTTTTAAAAAATGAAAATATAAAGGCATTTATGACTTTAATTGCATAAGCTAGCAAACCATATTGGGACATCTTTGCCAAGCTGTCTGGTTCCACAATATTTTAAATGGTAGGTTATGTTCTTGGAAATTAATATTTGCCATGGAAAATTATTACCCACATGTATAATAGCTGACTTTTCTGAAGATCTGCAGCCAGTGGTCCTCACCGTGATACTGAGATGATATGTTCCATGCATCTGTGAAAATTGCATAGAGATCGTTTGACAATTTTAACATAGATGCTTGATTGCTTATTATACAAGTGAAACTCAGCTATGAAATTCCAAGGATTGTCTAAAGAAATTTATATAGAATTGCTCATTTAATTCTCATAGACTTACATATAAATTCTATGAGTGTTCACTGACCCACCCTAGAGTGTGAGGGAGTCTCATATGAGGATAAGCTTTCTGCTCAACTTTAGAGAACGCTGGAATGAGTAGAGGTTTATTACTATCATTGCAAACTGTCACTTCAGAAACTCCAGCATGCTGATCTGCATTCCAAAGAGAAGGTGCGCAGTATTTTCCAGCCTTATTTGACCCAGCAGCCTGCTCCATCCCAGCACAGTTCCGCAGCCCAATTCTTCAGAGTAAGCTCGGCCCTACCTCATGCCTGGCACATCCCCAGCGCTCACCAAATTCCAGCGAGATTTCAGCATTATCCACTTTCAATGGAATTTAAATTGTCTGAGATATCCTTTGCCTTACACTTGTGAGTGAGGATAAGTATGCAAATAGAATCAGAAACACAAACTCGTTTCTTCTAACCAGATCTCAGCCCACACATTTCGAGGTAAAAGAGTAGTGAAATAATCCAACCTGGCATGTTGACCTATTATAGCAAATCTATTACTTAAAATAGGATTTTTTTAAGTGATAGAAAAGGAAAACAGTGGCTCCCTACTCGGCACATGCCTTCCACTTAGCATATCTAAAAGAATATTTTCCTCATTTCAAAATTGATAGCCAACTTTTTTGTTGTTTTGCTATTCAAATTTCTGTCCTCTTTTTCCAGCCTATTTGCTTTAACACTGAATTTTAAGCATCTCTAAAAATGCTTGATATGTTATTATTCTTTCCAGATATCCTCTGAGAGCCAAGCAGAGAACATTAAGAAAGGAGGAAGGGATGAAGCTGGAAACTGCAGTGAGCAGAGCCACTTGAAGAGGAGGGGAACTGTGAACCAGAGACTGCGTGCCGTCAGCATGAGAACTTCCTGGTACTTCTTGCTGCTCTTTTGGGTGGGTCAGCCCTACCCGACTTTCTCAACTCCATTATCTAAGAGGACTAGTGGTTTCCCAGCAAAGAAAAGGGCCCTGGAGCTCTCAGGAAACAGCAAAACCGAGCTGAACCGTTCAAAGAGGAGTTGGATGTGGAACCAATTCTTTCTCCTGGAGGAATACACGGGAACGGATTATCAGTACGTGGGCAAGGTAGGAATCCTTGGGCACTTTGACATTCCGGGTTTAAAAGCTTGAAGAAGTTACTTCTAATAAGTAGACAGGGAGGATGTGAACTATTTCCCAATACAGTAAAAATTGTTGCTTACTTGGTATGACTTTTTTTTTTTTCCACTTGAGTAGTTTTGGGAAGAAGATTGAAGCAAGAAACTGAGAAAGGTTAGCAGTGCGACCAAGAAACGATGGTGGAAAATGAACACCCACAACCATCGGCACAGCATTACCATAAATCCTTTAATTTGTACTTTAGCTTGCAAAATGGGGTCCAGCTATTCTATAAAGTAGGGTGCCTTAAAAGGAATAGAGTGGTTATGCTGTATGGGAAGGAAAGTGTCTTTTTCTCATTCTGAAAGCAAACATTCTGAGCTTGAGTTCTTGGCTGAATTCACGTTAACTGTTTTTTTGCTCTGCTACCTATGACGCCCTCCGTTCTCTGACCAAAGCCCTTTGTTGGCAAAACCCAGCCCTGCGGGTTAGATTTGGTGGTTGTTGCTGCTGTTAAGTCTGATCTCTGGTAATTGTCAAGAACCAGGTGTTTTAAATTCTTATGGTTTAATTATAGCAAGATTGACAAAAAGAGAAAAATGGTTACGTAAAGGCACTATTTCTAAGTTGCATCTGACCATTTTATTGGCTCTAGAAAGTAAAGTGAGGAGGAAGGGCTTATTATAGCCCTTACAGATTCCTGGAGCTGAGTCAGAGGCAGCTCTGTCCAACTGTCACCGAGAGTGTTCCCCGAGATTGCGTCATCAGCAAGCTTCTTGTTGCAAAATATCTGCATTCTGCAAAGGTGTAAAAGAAAAGCCAGGGCAGATTCTGCATTTCATAAGGTGGCATTGGTAAGAAAAATTATTGTCACACATCCTTTACATAAACAGAATGAACAGATAGTAAAATGTCTGCCTTCATTATCACAGCTCTGATTTTTAAAACACCTATATTAGGATCTCAGGCAAATAATATGAATTTTGCAGATTCCAAGGGCCGATGTTCACACTTCAATCTTTGATCAAATATCCCTGAGTAACAGTGTGTAACTGTTCTCTTTAACTATTTACCACTATAAATGAAGGAAAGCCAACCACAGCTACAGCTGAGGTAACCAGGCACAGTTCCAGTGCAGTGAACTATTAATGTGGAATAAAGTAGGATAGGAAATCTTCAGTGGAGGGGTGAACATCAACACAGATGCCCCAAGGATCCAGCAACGTATTTGCTGTGAAACTCACATTGTGTGACTACCAAAGAGAGATAGTTCACTTACTTGCACTTCATTTCCTTTGTGAAACTTGAATAACACTGCGCTAATAGGATGGTGATTACTTTTTAAAATCTGAAAATCTTTAAAGCCCTTTTTAAAATCCAAATGGCACTATTGCTATAGAAATTTAAGGTTTTTGGGGTCTTTTTGGTACCAGGGATTGAACTCGGGTCCTTGTGCCTGCAAGGCAGACCACTGAACCGCTTAGCTAAATCCCCGGCCCTAAGTTTAAGGTTTTAAAAAGTGCTGTTTCTAAGTGATTGATCCCAGACCCCTGCTGTTGTTGTTGTTTTTTTCTCTTTCTGCTTCTCTTCTCAAATTGTGCTGCCATTTTACATTACAATATTACAGATTCTTAAAGAACGTCCAAAAGCTTCAGAGTACAGGAAGCATCAGAAAATAAAACTGCACAAAAATCAGTTTTACAATTGTAGTTATGAGAGGTAAAATTGCCACGGGGAGAAGTTGCACGCTGTGGACCCAAGCAGATTTAAGAATGTGTCACTGCCTTACCAATCGCCAGTTATGTGCCCCTGGACAGGTTATTAACCTTTCCAGCCTGTAGTTTCTGCGTCTAGAAATTGTCTACGGCAATGCCTACCTGATGGGTGTTTTCAGTGAGACAATCTCTGGTGGTTGGCACATGGTAAGTGCTTGAAAAAGCCCACTGTGTGCATTCTATTAAATGTATGTGTCATACAAGGAAGGGGAGTGTTGACTTGATATTGATTTATATCGACGTAGGTGTGAAATCGGCTAATTAACACACCTCAGTGGTTAGGACATGTAGAGAATCATGGCAGAGCCCTTTTACATCCATAGCTTTGCCCAGACTCATTGGATTTAGGAAAATCATTGGCAGTTAGATAAATTTCCCTGCCTTGTCATCATCATCTGCCCTCTCGAGTTGCCCTTCCTTGAAGTTATAACACATGAGAGAAATTGGCAGGATAAAAATATCGAGGGCCATAACTGAAGTAATAGCTGCCCACAGTGCAATGTGAGATGGGTATAAGAGGCATTCTTGAATTGTTGAGGCGGCATTTTCCCAAATCTGTCTTTGAAGATAATTGTTTATTATAATTTAAAATATCCAAAATAAAAATAAATTTGGGAACCAAAGGAGGGGTTGTCCCTTACTTGTGGCACTAAGTTGATCTACCTTTAACTGACTTGGAATACGTCAGACACCCGATATGATTATCCAGACGCGCCACATCAGGAAACTTCTGAGGAAAAACTAAGATTAAATGAGAGTGGAGGCTCTGAAATTTCCTCAGTTTCCCAAAGCTCTTTTTCACAGTTTGCAACTTAGCACTGCAATCATTTGAAAAAATAGCACACATAAATTGACAGGAAAATTTTTTATTTTACTCAAATAGTACAATTATTTACAAGTGGAATACTGAGCTTTGAACATGCACAGCTTCTCAATCAGATCAGATACCCCCCGCCCCTTTTTTTAGTCTTCCACACTGATTTTTTGCGTTGTAGTTGCTTTATCAGAGCCACTGTGGGAAACAGCGTTGTAACTATGACATCATCAAAAGGAATGCAGCGCCACCTACTGTAGAAACTGTGAATTACCTTGAGCTAGTAATTCACTTGGGGGCTGAGGAAGGTCACATGTTAGTGGATGTTCCATGAAATTTTAGAACACAGTAGTTCCCGGTGAGTTTCTCGCTGTACCCTACACTGCCGCTATGCACACTCTGGAGACCATGAGACTGTATTTAGATTGCCAAATAAAGGTGTTCAAAGACTAAAAGATCCTTAAATCATGCTACAAACCCTACCAAATAATTAATCAGAACCTAACACGGTCGCCTAAAGCTGAAGACTGATCTGATCTGCATGTGGAAGAATAGAAGCATTGACTGAGAAAAAGTACTGCTGTTGAGCAAATAGTACTGAAAGCCGAAGAAAAATATTTTTCATTGTATGCATTTGTTTATATTTGTGTTAGTTTTGTCAAATTATTTTGGGGTCAGAGTGACAGCAAAGACTATGATGGAAAGTGGGATAAAATGGGAGTGGGGAGCAAAGGGCTTTCAAATTTAGAAGGAAAAAGAAAGAGAGGGTCACAGGAGGTCACAAGACCCAAAGAGGGAGTCTTGGGGGTGTAGCAGTAACCAAATGCGTAGGAAAGGTCGAGCTGTGAAACCGCAGCAGTTGCCAGGGCAGAGAGACCTCTTCTTGTCTCGCTCCTCCCCACCTTCCACATCACCAGTGAGATCGATACAGGAACACGGACAAAAGAGAGTTGGAAGGAAGCGCTCGTTACTACTAAAAGTGGAAAAGGCCAGAAACACTGACTAATCGAGTTCTGATTTATAAGAAAATCTCAACAATTCTACATCTAAAATAGTGACGGCAGGTAGGAGTAAAACGATAGAAGAAGTAGTCTGTGTTGACTCAGTTTATGAGCTTAAGATATAAATGTAGGTGGCACAGAAATGAATGTGATTTTTTTCCTAAAACGCATGGCCATTTGGAGACAATTTTAGTTGCTTTCACATCAGCAGCATCCATGAGAGCTTGCAGGACATGCGGAATCTCAGTTCTCCCCTCAAATCTTACTGAATCAAAATCTGCATTTTAACCAGATCTCCAGGTGAACTATTTGCACATAACACTGTTTTTTTTTTTTTTTTTTTTTTTTGGTACCAGGGTACCAAACTCGGGATGAAACACTGCTTTTAAAAATAACCTACCATGCCAAAGATCCTGATTTAGTTGGTTTCTAATTAAGTATTGATGATCCCAACTACTGAAAAATCTGAGCCCCGCAGCCCTAGGAGGGTATTATTGCCAATCATGACAATAAAATGCAGCAGCTTTAATGATGAAGATGGAGCAGCCCCAAAGAATAACGGAAACATGAAGAAGAGCGGTCACCCAGGCTCTGTGGTTCCACAGAGCTTTCTGGAAGAGGTGATGACGCTTGAACCCCACTTCAAAGGCATCACAGGTATTAGCTCTCCCTGCAGAGGGAGAATTCCCAGGACCTCCCAGTTAATAGGATGTAGAAGCCAAGGGAGAGAAAGAGTTAGGTTTAGGGATTGGACAACCACAGTAGTGAAAGTGTCACTACCGATACAGAAAACACAAAACAAAACACATATGTTTTCTTGTCACAGGGTAAAGGGAAATGTGATTTTTGTATAGAATCCACTTGGGTTATCTCTGGCTTATGTAAACTTAATAGGAGAATTGGAAAGAAGTATTTTAATACCTCAGTTTCAGAAATTGCAGCTCCTCTCCAGCCAGTTTCGCATAATGTAGAAATTCTTCGATGATGATGCTGATGATGGGTATATCGTCTGAGATTATGTTTCATACAAAAAGAAGAACATAGCTAGTCATAGATACAGATTAGATTTTTGAACATGTGAGCATTCATTAATACAAAGATGAATATATTAAAATCTCAGAATTAGGCCCAGCTTTAGGCAAAAATTTCACATATTATTATTAAACCGCTCTTTGCAAAGTGTTCTCCACTTTATCTTCCACAGTGTTTTTTACCCCTTCCTTCCATACGATATACACATAAGACAAATCTCCATTAGAACCATTTGACATGCTTTTTTTTTAGTAGCATATCAGGAGATCTCTTTTTATGGAATTTAATAAACTATATACTTTTAGAGGTATTTTCTGATGTCAGCTATTTGGGAAATAAATGATGATTTTCTTTGGCAGAGTTTCC